ATATTTTACTATCTGTTTTTATTACTAAACTTTTATTTATTATATAATTATTATTAATATTTTTTTATTATATAATTATACTCTTAACTTTTTTTATTATTGATCTTTTTTTGTTATATAATTATATTTTCAATTTTTTTATTATATATTTGTATTTTATTATATAATTATTTTATCAACCTTTTTTAATTATATAAAATTTATTAGTAAAAATTAATTTTTTATGAAAAAACTTTATTAATATTGATTTTTAATTATCTTTATATAATATATATTAATATAATTTTTATCTTTTATTCTAGTTTTAATAATATTTATTTCTTTAATAAATTAAAATAATTACTTTAATTATATTTAAAAAATTAGATATTTGATTAATTAATATTTGTTTAAAATAAGTATATTATATTTTATATTACATATACTTTTTTATAATTTGGTATATTTTTTATATACTAATTCTTGATAGTTATATATAATTTTATTATATTAAGATATCTGTCATTTTTTATATTAAAATTTTTATAACTTTATATTTTTTATAACTTTATTATATTAAAATTTTTATAATTTTATATTTTTTATAACTTTATATTATCAAAATTTAATGTGATTAAAGAAAATTATTTATAAGAATATTGAAAAAGAATAGAATTTATATAAAAATATTTAAACTTTATAACAATATTTACTAATATTAATATGTTCAGTATTTAATTATCTAATCACAATTACTTAATTTAACAATGCTCAACTATTTATAGTGCTTTAATTATTCAATCAGTTAATATAAATATATATGTTTTTTTAGGTTTAAAAATCCTAATTAACAGAATGTTCAAGAGAATTTTCACAAGTGTAAAGTTTCACTTGGAAAAGAGTTTTGTATACAAAGTTCTCACTCTTTATTGTGATTAATAATAAATCTTTAAATACATCTTATATGTAATTCTTATTAACATAAATGATAATATAGCTATTGCAGTAATTAACAAAGATAATTTCCGTCACTCATGGCAGTTTGACCAAAAATTAGAGATTTTGATCTAATATAACACCATTGAGTATGATATCTTGTATGACAATAAATAATCATCTGACATTACAAATTTTCGTGACACTACAATACTTATTAGCATATGATCCGCCATACTTATCAGCGTATGACCCGCCATACTTATTAGCTATGACTCACTTTACTTATATGACAATAAATAATCATCTGACGTTACAAATTTCGTGATACTACAATACTTGTTAGTATGACCTGTTCACGATTAAGCATGCAGAATTTGAGATTCTTTATATCGATATACATGTATTTGAAAATCAGTCTAATAAATCTTTTAAAATACTATGTACACAAAAATGAAATTCAATACTGTTGCAACTTTTTTGGTTTTTCTTGCTATTGTAGCTTTGGCAAATGCGGATTGTCTAGATGATTGCAGTAACTGTAAAGTATCTTTTTATTTTATGGTTGCAAACTTGACTCTTTAATGTTCTCAAGAATTTTTCTGATATTCTTCTATATCAAGTGATTTATTACATCAAATAAGAGATTATAATTTATTTAATATGATGCATCGGTTTTTTAATTATTTCTTTTAATAGTTACTGATCCTGGAGTATACGTATATTGTGTTAGAGATTGCTTACCTCCTGAAACAAATACACCAGCACCTACTAGAATTCCATCATCTACTAGAACTCCATCACCTACTAACAAAACCCAATCAAAAAGTGATAGCAATCATGCTTTCAATATTCCATCAATCTATTCATTATTGGTATATTCGGTTGCAATGTGTGTAATGGCCGATTTCTGGATGTAGGGCTTTTGTTATGTTAAGACGTAGCATTGTTTTAGTATACATAAAAAATAAATTTGCAAGCTATAAAAGCCATCTTTTACTTCTCAATTTGACCTTTCTTAAATCGATCCTTGGATATTTGTATGTGTGTCTCTTCCGAGTGTAAGGAATTATTTAGTATTAAATATGTTTATTAAATAAATTAATTGACCATTTTTATTTACGTATATACGTATTTATTATATCGATATAATTTCCACATACACAGTTAAAAAACAAAATCCTGATGTGGGTGAAATTTATTGCAAATTCATGGATCTTCCATTGTTAATCTAGTATAATTGTCCAGCACGTAGCGAAGGACATTCTATTTACTGTGAAAATTGTGGTCACGTGGCGATTTCTGTTTGTCCGCACACGTGAAGTAACCAATTGCGTTCTTTGTTTACAAGTAAGATGATCTGAAAAATCACGTAATTGGAAAATCAATAAAACATAGCTCCAGACTCCATTTCCTAGTTTATTATTATTTACTCGAATATATGGGCTAAGTGCAATAGAAATGGTGTAAATTACAGTAGTGCTCAAAAGTAATGCATCACTTAAAAGATAAATTTTGCGAGGCTATAACTTCTCGTACACTATATTAAACAATATATAACTAGGCCTATTTTAGTCACCAAATATAAAAGAATTATTCAAATTAAGTGATCCATTTTTTTTGATCGTTTTGATTACAAAAATTCAAATTGAAATTTCTAATCAACTAGCGAATAAAAATCCACCAAATTTCAACTAAATATTCTTTACCAACTACTTTCAATTAGACTTGTTAAAAATGCATTATCCATTTCGATCCAGACTTTTTGTATCGGTATCACATCCCAGAGTTGATCTTGAGTATGAATGGCAATGGATGATCTTCTCAAACGCTGGTCTATTTCATTCCAGAGATGCTCAATTGGATTAAGATCGGGTGATTGGGCAGGTCAATCAAGTATACGAATTTCATTATCATCAAAACATTCATATGTAGAGTTTGCCGTGTGTTTTGAATCATTGTCTTGTTGAAAGACAATACGTGAGGGGGCTGAAAAGTTTTGCGCGCGGACGTTTATTTTCAAAATTGTAGTAATAATTATCAATACAACTACTTCATTCCTTCAAAGTACTCTCCATTAAACTCTATACAACGTTCTAACCGATTTCGCCAACTCTGGAAAGAGTTCTCATAGTCCTCTTTTGGGATATCTTCAATAACTGCCTGAACAGCCCTTGCCAAATTTTTGACCTTATCAAATCTCTTTCCCTTTAGTTCTTTTTTATTCGAGGGAATAAGAAAAAATCACAAGGAGCAAGATCCAGACTGTATGGTGGGTGATGAAGAAGTTCTACTCGCTCGTTATGAAAATATTCCATTACGATTCTTGCCTTATGTGCTGCAGCATTATCGTAATGAAGCATGACGTCACGAATAGTCATTTTACTTCCTTTTTCCATAAAGTTTGAAAAAACTTTTAGTAGTATCTCATTGGCATAAAGGTTAGCGTTAACTGTTTGTCCTTTTGGAATCACAAATCATATAATGACTCCGTCTACAGAAAAAAATATGCAAAACATTCTTTTTTTCAAATTTTGAGCTGTCTTCACTATTTGTGATCTATTCTCATCCTTTTCTAATCATGACTTGTTCGCTTCCTTATTTGAAATAGTAAAGAAATATATCCATATTTTGTCACCAGTAACAATATTTTTGTACCCCTTGTCTAAAATTTTTAATAGTTTCTTGGAAATTTCGACACGATTTTATTTATATTCCTCTGAAAGCCTATGGAAAATTCATTTTGCACAGAGTTTGTGAAGATTCAGCTCTTTATATAAAATGTACCGACTTCGTTGACTAATTCTTTGATAGAAATATGTGGGTCATTGCTAATGAGATCCTCGACCCTGGCAATTTTTTCTGATGTCACTGCTTCGCGAAAACGTCCAGAACGGATCTTGTCTTTAATTTCTTCTTCCCCATCTTTGAATATAGCAATCCAGCGTCTAATTGTGCTAATAGAGAGTGCTTGTTTCCTTTCTACGTTCACCAACTCTTCATGGATTTGAGTTGCATTTCTGCCATTTTTCCAAGAAGCGAAAATAAAGTATTGTTGGTTTTCACGGCTCATTTTCTTCCAGTTGTTTTACTATGCTTGACAAAAAAATTGATTTCTCGACAATGAGATAATGAATTTGCTTCTACTTTTTTTTCATTTGTTACATGAAAGCATGCGCATTTGATAATTATTTCCAATTTTAGTTAAACTGATGCAATCTCGAGTTAGAGAGCCACACGCAAAACTTTTCAGCTCCCCCACGTATGTCTATTTGATAGTAGTTAAAGAATTGTAGTATATTGTTTGCCTTTCCTGAAGAGTTTAATCCCTGAACGTTGAGTGTGCTTATTCTCCAAGAGTTTGATGTTTTTGTGTCAATGTTATTAAAAGTTGGTGTATTGATTATGATTTGATTATTTAAGTCAGGTGTTGTAGAGATTTTTGATATGTTGTTAAAATATAATATATGATATGTGATGTGTGGATATGAAGTTATTTGTATTTCCTGTAAAAAAAAAATAAAAGACAAAAATCAGAAAAAAATCCAGTTTTGTAGTTCTGGAAAATCACGGGTTTTGTTAACAAATTTCTGGATTAAAATCTGCTTAAAAATAAAAAAAATGGAGAAAATAAAAAAAATATCCAGTAAGTTTGGGACACGATATCTTGTGAAACACAGATCCAATCCGGACAAGAATATTACCATTCGATTCGCCAAGACTAGACGAATCGAATGGTGGTATTTTCATCCAGATTGGATTCGTGGTTCACGAGATATCGCATCCCAAAGTTACCAGATTTTTAATTAGATTTTTATCAGATTTTAATCCAGAAATTTGTTAACAAAACTTGTAATTTTCCGGAACTAAAAAACTGGATTTTTTCCTGATTTTTGTCTTTTATTTTTTTTACAGTGAATGTTTGATTCTTTGTGATAACAATCAATGTGAAGATTGCTAAGAATCCAAAATTCCAGAAATTATCCTGTTTGTTGACAAGGATAAAGTACTAATATATTTAAAACCAAACTCTGAACTTGAAGAAATACTAACACAAGATAAGAATATAATTATCTTCTTACAACAACTGGCTTCAAAAGTTAAAACCAAAATAAAAAATCAGATGATTGACAAACTTGATGAAATACTTGAACATTACTATACTATTAATTTCACTAAGTTACCAATTCAAAAAAAAGTAAATTTGGCTATCAAGATTTATAATGATGATAACAAAGATACTATATCTCAAAAAGCTCATAAAAATAATGTTGAATTTAATGTAAAATACACTGAAAAAGAACTAATTAAAATACAATCTCAACAAATTACTTATATTGATTTATTTATCATACTTAAAATACCTCCTGAAACTGTATATCAACTTATATCTTGCTCCTCTTTGACAAAGAAAGGAATTGAAGTGAAAGCTAGAACTATTGACTCTGATTATACCAGAAATATTGGAGTATAGTTCTACAATAACTTTCAAGTTTCATATACCATTCAACCATAAGAATGAATTGCCCAAGTAGTATTTTTACAACTCATACCAATTGAAAGAATAAAACACATTCCCACTCAACAAGAACTTGGAGAATCTACCTGTAGAACTGGTAAATTTGAATCAACTATAATGAAAAAATCAATACATTCTTTTTTAATCAAGAAGAAGAAAGTGACAAATCAGTAGAACAACAAGAATTAACTGAAAAACAAGAACAAGTTCTAAACAAACCACTAGAAGAAAATAATGATATATTTACTACTGAGCTTTATGAGCTTGAATGAATTAATAGAGTTCAACATATTATTAATACTAAAAACAAACAACCAATCAAGCAAAGATCTTACTGAACGTCTATATCTAATCAAGAATTTATTTCTGAAAAAATATATAAGATAATTAATACTAGAATTGCTCAATCTTCAACAAATTCCTGGACTTCTCCCATTATGATAACAACAAGAAAAAATAACAAGAAAAAACTTTGCATAGACTATTAAAAGTTCAATAGTATTACAAAGAAAGATGCCTATCCCTTATCAAGAATTGATGAAATATTAGACATTCTTGAAGAAGCAAAATGGTTTTCATTAACTGATCTTATTAATAGATTCTGGAAAATTGAAATGCATTCTGATAGCATTCAAAAGATTACCTTTATCTCTTGCAAAAGATTATTTGAATTTAATGTTATGCTCTTTAATGTATGCAATAGACCCACTACCTTTCAATAAGCAATGAATAATATGCTTGAAAATTATAACTGGAAATTCATCATGATTAAAGATGGCGCGGCAACTGTTGCAACATGGTGACAAATAAAGTATCACCTAGTTGCAACTAGTTGCGGCTTATAAAATTTTGGAGTTGCAACGTGTTGCAATGGGTGACAAATAAGTATCACATACTTGCTGCGCCATCTCTAAAGTGGGTCAAGCTCAGATGCTTCACAATATTGTCTAAAATCTCTAATTCATTCCTCAAGATCTTTTCTGACTTCTTCATGAAATGGTTTTGGTGTATATCCTGCCATTCTTATATGTTGATTGTTTATAGATGGATTATTCTAAAGCGTAAAAATTTGCTGATTCAAATTTAATATTAATTGCGCTTTCTATTTTTTCACTTGATATGACTTGCCTTTTAATCCTTGAATTTATTGTAATATCTATTAAAGAGCCTATCACAATTATATTTTAATAATCCTTTATCAGCCCAGCATTGTTGTAGCTCCTGTCCTAAGCGATGAATAAATATCTTGTAAATAATTTCAAAAATACGTTTGAGTTTAGATTGTTCACCCCATATCAAGCTTGCATTATATCATAAATGCTCCTGTATATCATATTTTTGTTGTAATCCTTGTTCATAAATTTGACATCTCCGAAATTTAAAATTAAGTGTAAGCTTTCA